ATTTTAATTCTTGCTAAATTAAATCTTAAATCAAATTTTCACTGTATTAAAAGTTGACATCCTCTGATCTAAAAAAAATGCAATATTATCTTTTTCCAAATGTTATCCCCTTGTTGATATGTTGCCTTTACGCCCATATTTCTCAACATTTTTACTAAAGGTTGCTTAAATAGATATATTTTGGTAGTTTGTGTGCTTGCTTGTTTGATGGATAGTTTTGGCAGTCACTTGATTTTGTTTATAAGACTTCTCAGCAGATATTTGATTTTGTATTAACTTGTTTTGTATAACATTAAAATTTGGTACTGTTCAATGTTGCTGTTTTTTTTTTTATGAAAAATAAATGAAAAGAAAACATGTATTAGTTGTTTTTCATGGACTCTTCCCACCTGACACCCCTCGAGTTAAATGGACTCTCCCCACCTGACACCCCTCGAATTAAATGGACTTGTCCTACCTGACACCCCTTAAACCGAATGGACTCTTCCCACCTGACACCCCTCGAACCGAATGGACTCTTCCCACCTGACACCCCTCGAATCGAATGGACTCTCACCTCCTGACACCCCTCGAATCGAATGGACTCTTCCCACCTGACACCCCTCGAATCGAATGGACTCTCCCCACCTGACACCCCTCGAACCGAATGGACTCTCCCCACCCGACACCCCTCGAACCAAATGGACTCTCCCAACCTGACATCCCTTAAATTAATTGGACTCGTCCCATGCAGTCATATTAATCATACTGTCATTCCAATATACCAAACATATTTCTTTGAACTGTTTATTTATCATCAATTCTATTATCCATTTATCACAAAACAATACTAAAAAACTTAACGACAGAACCAGAACGTACAAAATAATTCAACTTTTTTCAAAGGTTTATATTACGTAAAAACACGCTTTATGACAAAAAACAATGTTTTTCAAAAAATTATACGAAATGCAGATTCAATCGATACCGAAAATTTCACATACACTGTTAAACTAAATTATTAAAACAAGCCACCAAATAAATCTACAGAAAACTAAGAAGACATAACGTGAAAATGTAGAACTAAAGTTTTCCATTTTCTCAAATTATGGTTTTTGAAATGAATTAAATACAGCAATGTAAATACATTAAAATATAAAAATAGCGCTCCTTAGAGGATTCTCAAAGTCAAATATTGAAACAATTTAAAAGGGTTACATCGACTTCAAACAGGGTTGGGCACATTCAGTCTTTTTCTACAGGATTCCCAGTTTATCCGGGGATTAAAAATCTTATTCTTAAATGTTTTATAGAATAGGACGAAAAACCATCAACCTTGAAAGCAGAAATATTTGGAAGGGCGATCACAATACGTAGGCATAGATATTCGGGAAATTTAGGTAAATTTTAACTGTTCAGTGTGTGCATACCACTTATTTGTAAAAGAATCCAAAATTGGACGGCGTTTTGAAAATTCGGCTCATACTGCGATTTCTTTTACTTCTAATCCAGTATTTCAAATCAAACTGAAAGCGTATTGTTCGTCACTCAAATGAAAATGCCATTATAAAAAGAAACTGAATTCGACTAAGTGGATTATAGTAACAAATGAAACAACAGTTGATCGACTTTATTGAACAATTTCTTTTCAAGATTCGACCAGCTATTTGGTGGAAAAATGCACTCCAACGTTTAAGTTTAAACTTTAGAAATGTAAACATTTAAAAAACAAACATTATTGCATTTACTTTACTGCAATGCCACCCCCCTCCAAAGCTAAAGTGTCTAGAAAATTATAGTAATTTTTTTACCAAATAGCTGTTCTAATCGTAATAAGTGTGCCGGCGGGCGTGCATGCGTGCCATGTTCCAAAATCCGGAGAGCGAAGGCAGGCTTCTGTCAGACGCAGTTTACATTATCTTGACATAGGAGATGGCAGTTCTGAAAAAACAAACAAACAAGCAAACATTAATGGCGGTACGCACCTCCAATGTAAATGATTTTACACTAAGATTTAAGGCATTAAATATGGTATTAATATAGATATTATAAGGACGCATATAAGGACAAAAAATCTAAAGAAATCGAACCAGAATTCAAGGACGAAAAAATATTTCTCAACAAATTTCAAGGAATGGAGTACACCTATTTCTCAGAAAAAAAAACAGACCACTGTTACAAAATGGAGCTCTTTGAGAAATTGCATGAAAATTTAATGAACCAATACAAATGGAGATGTTAAGACTACAATTCCTTTTCAGAAAAGATTCTCTAAAACAAATTATTGGAAGTACGTTTCCGTGTTCTCATAAAATAAGGCTTGTTGAATAACACAACGCAAAAGTACACATTTCCAACAAGTACCTTAGATTTCAAATCTGACGTTGATAGTGATACAAATATCTTATTGAATTAAATAAAGCAATTAAAAGACGGCTGTAAAAGAAATGCTGCTTACATGACAAAGCTTCAACGCTGAATGAGAGTCATTACTTGCGGCTTCACCACACGATGCGTCTTCCCTTTACGGAATCCTACTGTCAAGTGACCATGAAGAAGAAACGATGACAATATGTCAGAAAAAAATTAAGTCTCTAAAGCAAATTATCGAACGTACGCTTCAGCGTTCTCGTCAAATGAGGTTAGTTGAATAGTACAACACAAAAGAAGGCATTTACAACACTGACTGAAGATTTCAAAACTGATGTTGATAGTGAAACAAATACCCTACTGAATTGGACGAAGCAATTAGATCTTGGCTGTAAAGAAATGTTACTTACGTGACAAAGCTCCAACACCAAATGTTGCTAGCTTCTTCACCACACCCAACCATGCGCCTTCTCTTCACGGGATCCTACTGTCAAGTGACTATGAAGATGGGTCGCACTGCCGTGAGCGACCTATTGTTATGTAAATTATAACAGGTACAGCTCATGTTCATTCAGGAGTATTGCGCTTGAAATCGTTCTCATTAGGAAGGCGAAACTATGTGATTTCGATAGTTTAACATAAAATGATGAATCTGTTTTTCGTGAATTCTTGATAATATAATTTAATCCATCGGTCAGAAGTATCTTGCGATCCCTCATGGCTGAATACGCAGAGACCTAACACTGAATCTTCTCGGCACTGTCGGGCGATCATTGGTTTAGATGGAGAGCACGCTCACCTGTCTTTTGTCATGGTAATCGTAATGGTCTGGTTCACTTCTGAGTAAAGGGATATACAGTTGCAGTTCCCTCGACTATTCTGATAATTATATTTCCATTTAAGGTCCTTGTATATTTACGACGGATAGATCTAGCTATACGTGCAAAATTGAAATACCTAACGTAAAAGCCGCTAATACATGAGAACCTGGCATTTCCGTAGTATTAGTCGAAGAAGGGACGCACATGGGTCGCAGTTTAGTGTGAAGGGGGGCCCCCCCAAGTTGTCAGGCCAAAGAGACCCATAAAATAGCGCATTCTTAACGAAAATTCTATACTTTTTCTCAGAAAAATATTGTTGATTAACAAGGTTTTACTCTGTACCAAAGTTAAAAGCAGTTGACACTAGGATAGAAATTCATAAATTTTATTCTCAGTGGTTTCCAAATTGCAATTATTACGTAAAAAGATGCACGCACAAATTACTTTCAAATATATATTTCCTTTCTAGATTTTCCTCTTTTCTTTCTTTAAATGAGGGGAAGAGCGGCTATGGATTTAAACATAAGAAATAAAGTAACTGTGTGTATATAAATATAGCTGTGCACAAGTTACAATGCTAGAAAAGTAACAACTTGATAGTGATACAAACTTACATAATCTATGCAATATACACAGTTTAATAACAATTACACTGTGATTTTTCAAAAATAGAAGCATACCGATTTACTTCAGTTTTAAAGTGCCATGCTGTACAATATAGTTCAGTAAAATGGATCTCTCTGAAAATACTCAACAGGTTACCTAACAATACCTTTCTTTGTTCAATATATGAAAAAGTTATTGACATTCTTTCTTTAACAATCTAAATATTTTGTCTAATACTCATAACACAACTCACTACTCATATGTACATATTAAGTAAACAATATCTTATATAAACAATGTAAGTAATAAAATCCTTTATGACAATCAGTTAAAAGCACAAAAGTAATACTAAAACTGTGTAATAGTATTTTATTAATGGCAACTATGAGTGGTAGTGAAAGTAGTGTCCCAACCTTGACCTAAGTTGAAATAGAAAGAACACAAACTGCGATAAATGTCAACGACAAGCACCATACCAAAAGAAATACAGGACATTTTAAAATGATAATTCTTTTTCAAATGCCCTTTATTAAGTAGAAATGAGTACAAAAAAGAATCCCATTGGACGAATATTTGTAATGCTTGAAAGTCTGTAAGTACTTATTTAATAATAAAATTTAATAATTCTTCTTTTAATCTTCCTCAATATCATCCACTGTCTGGTTTCAACTTATCCTTCTTTATTTTTCCTAAAAAAAAAAAGAAGTGATTTTTTAAATCAAATAATTTTTCATATTTAGTTTTTAACTATACATGAAAACTTGTATGTGCTAAAAAGCTTTCACCATATCCGTTGAATATGTATTCCATGTATCAACTTACTGCAAGATCAAGATAGCAAAGAATTATCTCCATTTGGATTTGGTAAAACTACATTAATTTCATCAATGTGCTGAATAAAAACAAGTAATATGCAGAGTGGGATGAGGAGTGGCAGTATGCAAGATTCCTTATGTGCTGTGAAATATGATAGCACTGGTTTACTAAAAAAAAATTAAATGCTGTTCATTTCACCTCATTGAATGTTCCTTTTTTCTTTTATTTTTTCCATTGTGATAGATTAACATTATGATTAACAGTGTCTTAGCTGTGTCTGTGTACTGATCATCATAACTACTGGGATGCTGTTAGTATATGATAAGAAACCATGCTGAGTGCTAAATCATTTTAAGATAAGATACATTCTCCAAGGTGTTGTAATGTGTTATAAAGTTGAAATACACACCTTTCAGGCCCTATTAATAACAAGGTTGTAAATTACAGTATCTCCTCTGTAGTTTTGGTCCACAGGGTCTACCTCCATTCTGGGGCTCGACAAGGACATGTTTTGACCTCTCCTGAATGCTGTCATATCCACATGTCTTGGCACATGGCGTCCAGGGTCCCCAGCCTCCCAGCACGCAGTCTACACGCTCTGTGCTCTTACGAAACTCATTACTCGACTCTGAAAATAAAACATTCAATACCTACAAGTAAATGATATTTGCAGTATTTCTTTCCGAATTGTCATATTCTGTGTGAATTATTCTAAACATTTAGTTGTGTTCCACAGTGTTTTCAATCTGTCACGTGATATCAATCTCTAAATAAATTTATTTCTTATTTCTTTACATAACTATTTTTCTCTGTACCACTTTCCGATAACTTTCAAAAAATTGACAGAATCAGGTTTTTTGTGAGCCTTTGACTGGTTTCATTAGGTGTTCGTAAGTATCTAACACCAATTTAATATTTCAACCTGTGACAAATTGTGAACTAATTATGAAGCTTACGTGTATTCTGTACAGGCTGTACTCTACTGGACTTCTCAGGATGACCAGTGTCTGTCTTATGGGTCCCTTTGCCTGAAACAAATACCAGAAGTGTTATGTATTTACAGACCTAAGGTACTAGATAGTGTAGCACTTAACACTGCACCCTGGCACATTGATATGTAACATGTTATAAGGTCAATAAAGTCAGTTCCAACAAACGCATGAACTGGTGTGTTTGTCAGAAAAGAGTCAGTCCAGAAACAAAGAAGCTGGTTATATAAACAGCTGTATTCATTTTATAAATAATAGAAAAATAATATCTGCATCTACATTGCTTTACCCAAATCACTATCAAATACTTCAATTTAAATGTCAGTGAGAGTTCACATTAAACAATTTAACATGATATTTCAACTTTTCAACAACTGTCAATGACCGAATAAAGTTTTGCTGTTTTTCATTAATCAAGTATACTATTAATACTCACTACATTTCCTATGTTTGCACTTTTTCCTCTGTCGCATCTTCTTGGGACATTTTTTCCCACCATTTTCAGGCTGAACCTTGATCATCCGATAGCGTGTCACTCGCCCGCGGCCACATGTGACAGAGCATGGTGACCACTCGGTCCACTGTGTCACCATGCAGTCGATTTTATCAGTTTCTGATTTTTCATTTTCTTCTGTTGTCTGCTGCATCATTTTCTTTTTAGCCATCATGGCTGCCTGGATCTCTTCATCACTTCCTCCACCATGCTGTTGCCCCTGCATCATTTTCAGCTTTTCCATCATGGCAACTGTAACAGACAGAACTAATTATCTGGCAGTGAACCAGTGACAAAGGTCAATGATGTGGAGCAAAGCAAACATCTTTCATTCAATTTACTGTTATCACTTAGTGTTTTAATAAGCTATAATTCAATGATGTTAATATAATGTGAATCTCTTCAAATGAGCAAATAAAATACTTCAATAAAATCTCAAAACTAACCTAACTGAATCTAAACTATACAAAAAGCAACAATTCTTTATTATCAGGAGCTGCCTCCTAATTTTAGCTACAAGTGAGTCATCAGTAAAAAAATAAATGAAACCTGAAACAAAAATAATTTCTATGTAACGTGCAAAACATAAAGCCAGTTTAAGAGTCAGCAGATCACAAATAACATTACACAAAGCAGAGACACTGGTAAGATGTTATATTATGCACACTGCAGAGACAAAGAACCACGGAATGTTCTAACTGAAGTAAGAGCATGACAATCTTTCATATTGTTACAATAAGCAGAAACATAGCAAAAAGCATAGTATTATTATTATTATTTTTTTTTTTGCATTTACTGTCCACATACACCCTTATGCCAAAGAACTTAAAAAAGTTTTCAACAACTTTAAAAACTGTAACAAGCATGGTTGAAAGCCACATTTTAACTGTTCTCCCCATCTCCTTAGTTTCCATGCTAGCTTCCCCTCTCCCCCACCCCAAAGAAAAAAAAAAACTCAGCAGCATATGCAGAAATTGCATAGCATTACAACTACATATTAAATCATTCTGTTGCACATTTCAAGTAGCCCCAGCCTAGCACTTACTTCTGTTATGCTTTTGACTAAACAACATTCTACCTCTGGCCATGCAAATTTCATTAATCACAGTCTAACACAATGACTTTGCCATGACAGTAACAATGAATACTATACATCTCTACTATGTGTGTACGTGTATGTGTGCGCATGCACAAGTATGTGTGTATAATTACATAAACAGCAACATGAGACCACTGTCCAGTCTTGATAACTGACCTTTGTCAGCCATAGCAGACACACATCTCTCCTCGCACTCCGGCTGTGAGAAGAACCTGTTATTATTCCCTCCACACCCACCAAACTTAAACGGCAGGCACTTCCCCATTGGGAAGCTGTAATACCACCGTGGGAAGTCCCCGTAACAGGGACCCACATCAGGAAGGTCCAGACACACTTCTGAAATGGGAGGCACACTCAGGGGGCTATAAGGTTGTGAAGGGGAGTGGTACCTCAGCAGTCTGGGCATGGATAGTAACGTTGGACCTTACAGAAATACTTTACATAGGCTGCACTTTACAGAAAACAATTGATTTTTTAAAAATATCTTGTAAATTAATATCCATTTATGAAGCTTTACATGATCCATATTACTGAGGTACCACTTATGAACATGACATATAATACAAGACAATGTGCAGAAGTTTATAAAAATGCAGTTTGAAAATAGTATAGAAGTGATGACAATTAGTTATACAGGATAACAAGTAAGAAGTGCAACACTTCTATAAAGACTAAAAAACATTAACATCTTTGACATATACCTTCACCGAGAGGACTTTTTTAAGATAATGAAAACAAGACAACATGTAACATTACACTGTCACTCTGCTTTTTCCAGCATCCAATGCAGTGTTAGACCTTACTTAGTAAAGGAAATTAATTTACCTGGAAATAACAATGATTTTCCCTTCATCACCAAGGTACATCCTATCCAAAACATGCAATTACAAAAGTTTAAATTTCTATTTTTAATGTTATATGTGAAGTTCACCAAGCTACTTCTCCATTACTCAACAATGAGTTTATAAACTGAAACCCTGTCAATAGTTTTTGGATATGGTATGCCTTGGTGTTGAAATTTCCAGGAAAAGTAACTTCTTGCTTCATAAAGGCCTGCCACGCATTACAGGGTTTTATAAGCACTTCACTGTTACCTTCAGTGGTAGGACCTCTCCTGTCAGAATCTGATGAAGTATTCTGGAGTCCAAACTGCATCATGAGTTTTTTAGCCATCAAGATTGCTGTAAATGGCAAAAACTACCTTTTATAATGCTGTATTTGTCAATACCACATTTAAGGACACTCAATTCATGAAAACAACCATGATAATTTTTCAAGTGAAATACCAAACTTTTTAGTGAACAAGGCAGCAAAGCTGTCAAATGTACAGACAAAAAACAGAAAATAAAGATGCAAAATAGGTCATTTTGTCAATTTTGATGCAATAATAAATAATGCTTATAATAGCACTGTCAGTCAACACTGAATTTTAATCATGCACAACAGGTACCATGGTCAATAACAGGAGCGAACCCAGAGATATTTTCTGACAGTATTCCAAAGTATCTATGTTGATCCATCCTCCATTTTTATGGTTTCCAACAGAAAAAAATAGATACCAGTCAATATAAACTTAATAACCTGACCGTCTTCCGGAAGACCCAGAAGATGGTCTCAATCCACCCCTTCAGTAAGATTACAGTTTCAGGACCATGAGAGTTCAAATTCTCATGATGAAAGTCTCAATATTTGAAAAATGA